CCCCAAAACCCCAAAACCCCAAAACCCCAAAACCCCATATGTGTATATGTGTAAATGTGTTAATGTTTTGAAGTTATTGCCAATTATGATAAAGTTAAGTTCAAAATCTAAATGGACTTTGCTCTTCATCTGAGTCATCATAAAGTTCTGATGTTTCCATCCTTTATATACCCTAAAATAAATTGATAAATTAAAAGTCTTACCTTAAAAGTATGATGAGTTTACAAGGGGAATTCACCTTGCTCTGATCCAACTATACTTCTATTGATAAGTCCCATATTTTGCATCGGACTAGGAAGAGGGCTCATATTTGACTCATTCAATTAACTATCGGATTACTAACTTGAAAGATTGCTTTGAGATAGGAATGTTTTAATGCAGATAAGGTTATTGAACTCTGGCTGGTCTAAAATTAAATTGATGTACTTCTCTAGCAATTTCTGCAAATCATTATCAGATAAAATTAAGCCATTTTCAGTCTTCTTTGATGGGAAATGAGGTATAAGTTTGAGAAGATCTGGGTCATTAACAAAGGTTTGATATATAAAGTGATTGAAGTTTTAAAAATCCTTGTATCTCTTCTTTATTTAGTAGACCTGCTAATTTCTTCCTTCATTTATTATAACTTTTAATATGTAGAAGGTCTTGGCCTTCTCGTCAATAATTAAGACCTCGTTAAAATCAATTAGAACAGAAGCTGAAGTGATTCTGTCAATTGTATTTAAGACACTTGATCTTAGGTTCATTTGAGTATTTTAGTAAAAATCTATAAACTCTAATACTACCTGGGGTAGATCCTTCAAATCGAATACTCTCTTAATGTACTACTAGAGTTAAACTTTTCTGTTGTCTAAAGATATCTTATCCTAGTTAGTAATTCTAGGTGGGATTTAAGGCATCTCAATACTAGAGCCTGCCGATATCTTAGGCTAAAGCGCTTTCTAAAGTAGTTAATCAAGTTCTTTGAAGTCACTGTATCGCTTATTAATGATCCAGCTTTTCTCCTGGCCTTCCAAAAAGCTGATACTCATTCTGTATTCAATATATTCTTCTCCCATTTAAGATGCTCTCACCCAATCCAACACTTTTATTTTAAATGGTTGATTAAGACTGTACCCTTCTTAATCCTCGGATATACCATTTAAGGCTACTGAACTAGCCTTTGGTTGAATGTAATCATCGATCAATGTATACTTGTCAACATCTCCTTATAAAGATTCATGAGAAGCTTAGCTATCTTAAGATGTATCCTTTCCATTTTCTACTTTTGATTGCTTAGTTGCATAGCTTGGTTTTCTTTTATTGTTTGATTCTTTGTACTTTGATTTATTATTCTCTTTCTGCAATTAAATTTGGATCTTTTAAGGCAACTCAAGAAATTCAAAAACTCTTGGAGTCCAGAATTCTTGTCTCTAAACTAAATTTTTGAGGAATCTTTCTAAATCTTCAATCCTCTTTAGGAATAGTTTATCAGAATTCATGATTTATTAATCGTATTGACCACTACTTTTTGATTTTTAAAGTATTTTATTTCCATTCCAGTTAGATTTACTAAGGAGAGGAAATTTGGTGCTGTTTCTACGATTGTAATGATTTATAATATCGACTACATAAGATTCTAGTTCCACGAATTCAGCATAGGATTTTTGCAGCTTTATTTCCTGCTTTTCCTCATCATTTATTATTACTGAGAAAGCGTACATTACTTTCTATTATTCAACGATAAGTTTTCTGTTCATTTTAATTTGGATAAAGTTGTTTTCATTATTCATAGTGCGGCTCTTTTTGTGGAAGCTTGATCTAAGCATTGTAGATCGGTCAAACTCATCTAATAAGGGTCTTCTAATGTTAATTCATGCAACAAATAGCTTACTCTTCAGGTCTAGGGTTGCTCTTAGTCCTTCTCTTTGTCATGAACATCATCACAATCAATGTCAAATTCATTACCCAGAAAACAATATCAACAACTTTCAGCAGGTTCCCCTAATAGAATTTTAAGATGCGGCAGGCTTACATAAATTTAGAAGTTCAGAAATAGGAATGTTGTATCAACTATAAAGAACAATGACCAAAATATCCAGTGAGGCAGGTACTCTGATAATCTTTTTCTATATTCATATCTCATTAGCTTAGCTGCAAAAATCCAAGCAATAGCATTTATCAGCAGTAAGAAACTGTAATACCTGTTTTCCTTGACAATATCGTAGTAATCACTATCTTTATAGATGGGATCAAGCAAGAGCATTATCATAATGAACAGAGTTATTCCAGCCTAAGTATATTAGATATAAACTTTAGCGAGAAATAACTTAGAAAAAACAGTGGTCTTTGAAAATCCTATTGGCCTAATTTTAAAGAGTCTGCAAAGTGCCATGATGATGAACAAAAAGCATATTATGCTTTTCAATAACTACTCAGCAATCATCCTTCTGGCCATTGATTAGTCTTTATCCTCAGACTCACCAGCCAATTCTGTTAGGTATCTCAGCGTCTCATTTTAAAATGATTGAATAGAATTGACTTATTAGAATATGTTGTTCATTTTGCAATATTGATATTGATTTATTATATAACTCTTTATAAATAATCTATCTTGGGGTTTTGGGGTTTTGGGGTTTTGGGG